CTTCTGACCAGACAGTCTCCCTGCCTCTGCCCTGCCCCAGACATGGCACATAGTAGGCACATAGTAGGTGCTCAACAAAGACTCTGCTTGCGGCTTCCCTCTCTTCTCTGACTTTCCCTCCCCTCCCTCTCCTGAGGCAGGGGTGAGCATGGTGTYGGAGAGGCCAAGCGCAGGGATCCTGGCCCTGGGCTGGCCCTGGTCGGTCCTCACTGCCTGCTTTTGTACAGCCCGAGTCAGGAGTGGGTTTTACCGMTGGCCGCTGGCCACCCATCTGTGGCAGGGAACACTAATTTGTCTCCAATTAAGCAAAATATCAGCCCCGAAGAGCTCCGTTCCCCAGTAGATTCATATTAAAAACTGTCCTCRGTTCTCGCTATTATATCTTTAATTTTGTCAAATAAGAACCAGGGGGAACCTCTTCTCTCTCCGCAGGACGCCTCTGCTTTGGCCTCCGCCTGGCTCCGCTCCGTTCTGACCTGTGCGTTGGCCTCTGGCTTGGCGGGGGTCTCTCCCGCTTCCCGGGGCCCGGGGTGAGGACCCGCCGCCCTCCGGCCACGCGACGGCGGGACGCAACTGCGGACAGGACGCCACGGGCACCCGCCCTCCTCTCCGCGGTGCGCAGGGCCACCTGGGTCTCAGCTGGGACGCAGCTGTCGTCGGCGGGGGGCGTCCTGCCCCGCTGGCCGCGGACCTCCCTGGACACCTGCCCCTCTGCAGCTCCGCGTGGGTGGCCGAGTCTCCCGGGTAACCCGTCCCCGCCCCGCCCGGCCCCTGCGCCCCGCCCGCGCCCGCTTCCCGTGTCACATCTGTGGCACCATCCTTCCCTGCCACTCTGCTGGCCACCCCCTCGTCCTCCCCCCTCCCTCCTGGCTCTGTCCCTGCCTCTCCGCAGCTGCTCGGTCCTTCCTCCTGCTTTTCTTTCCCTGTCACGCACCTCCTCTCCCCTCACTCCGCGTTCCGCTTTCCGCCCACCAGGTCCCCTCTCCCTCCCTCCCTCCCTCCCTCCCTCTCTCCCCCCTCTCTCTTCCTCCCTCCCCCACCACCGGTCCCCCTCTTTCTCCTTTTCCATTGGCTTGTCCGGTCCCCTCTCCTCTCTGCCCCCCCAGCTCTGCCCGCAGACCCCGTCTGTGCCCCTGCCCATCCCCCCTGCGTCCCGGAGGTGGGGGCGACCCTCCGGCGCAGGTGGGAAGTCAGGCCGGAGTCAGATGGGAGAGGCTCAGGGCACAGATGTGGCCGCGCGCCTAGGAGGGGACCCAAGCCSGCCAGCAGCCTAAAGTGGGACCCAGTTGGGGGTGCCCTGGGAGGGGGCGCAGGATGAGGAGCAGCCTGGCGGCCAGGAGGGGAGGCCTCTGCCSGTGGGCAGGTAAGGAGGTGGCGGGTGGTCCTGGGTGGGATGCCTGGCCCATGGCTGCCCAGGATGAGCTGGGAAGGCCGTGGGGGCTGGCAGAGGGTGGAGTGTCCCACTGCCCAGGGCGGGAGGGCCTCCGTGACCTCTGGGTGGGCTGCTCAGAGTCTTGTGTCGTGATTCCAGAATCTTCGGGTCTAGGAGCAGCAGAATGTCGGAGCTGGACCAGGCCAGATGCATCCTGTGACTCCACATCCTGGGCTTGGGGGGCAGCTCTCCCGAGCTCCTCTGTGCCAGGCACAAGGCCTGGTTCACTSCTGTTTAATCTCTTCACCAACCCTGGGAGGTGGGTACATGTGTCTTCCCTGTAATGGGCATAAATGAGGTCCAGAGAGGAGAAATGACTTGTCCAAGGTCACACAGCAATTTGGCATGGCTTGTGGGGTGTGCTCCAATGGAGGTCAGACCCCCAGCTGAGGGTGGAAATCAGTCAATACCATTAGATGACCCAGGCCTYGGGAGGAAGGCCTGGGGTGCAGAGGCAGAAACAGCAGGGGCGTTCRGCCGGCATCTGCCAGGGCTGCCTCTAGAGAGGCCAGCATGGCCAGGAGGCACTGATGATTTAGGAACAGAAAGAACTGGGCTTGAATCCTGGGTTCCCACTCACCAGCTGGGTGACCTTCTCCTGGTTACTTAACCTCTCTGACCCTCTGCTTCCTCCTCCCTCCTACCTCCTGGACTTCCTGAGCATTCCCTGCTGCAGCTCCAGGCCTCTGCCCAGGAACAGTGTTGCAGTTTGAGCTTTGTTGCTTCTGTTAGCGTCTACTGAGTGCTGGGTGATGGACCCAGAGGGGTCCAGGCCGAGGGACAAGGGAATGAGAGGGACAGGGTGTCTGGCYTCCCGAGGGGCTGTCCTTGATTACTGCAGGGCTGGGAGCAGCTACTCACTCTCTCTTGCCTCTCTCCTCTCCAGAGCCTTCTGAGGAGTCCGCCCCCGGCTTTCAGCCCAGCTTGTGCCAAAGATAAACCAGACAGCGAGGAAAAGTCCTTCCCTCCCCAAAATGAGCTGATCACGCCCAGGATTCCACTCCTTCAAGAAAAGACGGCACCGAAATTGCAGGTCTGGCTTCCCCACGTGGAAAGCTGTCATTTCCCRGCTTGTGGTGCCTGGGAAACCTGGACAGAGAGGGTGGGTGGAGGCGAAGTGGAGGCAGGGAGTCTCAGGGAGGCCGGGGCCGGGAGGGGCTGCTTCATCCCTGGGATGAGGAGGGTCTGCCTGGCAGGTTTGCGCATGTGGGTTCGCCTGTGTGCAGGGCTGCAGGGCGCTGGACTCCGAGCTCCCCTCAAACCCCCACCCCCCGCTTCCCCCGAGGGCATCTGTCCCTGAAGCCTGGAAATTAGGCCTGCTGGCTCCCTGCCCCTCTGGGGAGCCTGGTGCTCCCCTGCCTCCTGCAGCCCTGGGCTGTGATTGGCCGCAATGGGTCCTCTGTACAGAGGCTCTGCCACCAGCAGTGGATGGCGAGGTGGACAGTGACGTCGGGCACTCCCCTCCCGCAGGCCCAGGAAGCAGGACTTTAAGGTCCTAGATGCCACCGTTCCCTGGCTGCTGCTGGCCTTTGGAATTCAGTGTTCTCTGATTCAAGGACATGAGCTTAAAGATCCACGAGTCCCAGTCCCYGGGCTCTGTCCTAGGAGTCTAACAGCCCAGGAGTAGGCCGGAGAGGTCTGCAGAGGCCAGGGAGCTGCGGCGCCCCCCTCCTGACCTGGCCTTAGTCTGGGAGCCTGTGAAATGGAGGCCGGTGGTCACGGGAGTCTTCCTGGATGTGCCTTTTCTTAGCTGTGCACCGGAGCCTGGGGCCTCGTCTTCCTCCCTCCCTCCCTCTCATTCGCTTGTCCCTCTCAGTCCTTGTGACGCTACAGGCACCAGCTTTGCATGGAGGGTGGCACAGTTGGATTCAGCGGTACACAGCCGGTGGCACTGAGCGCCCTGTAGCCCACGTCCAGATTCCCTGGCTCAGGAGACCCATGAGAGCCTGGGGGGTGGGGCGGGTTGAGGACAGGCTGGGGGCTCCCCCATTCTGGAATCCTGGAGCCGGGAGGGTGCCGGGAGCTCAGGCAGCCTGGGCTGAAGCAGGAGGAGATGTGGCTCAGGGGTCCTTAGCCACCCTTGATGCCYGATGCCCAGCTGGCACCAGGAGCCGGCTCCATGCTCACCCGCCCTGAGGCGGTGGCTGGGGGTAGGGACCTCCCCGGTCCCAGGAGCCGTGCACCTTCCAGTGGGGCCATGCAGGCAYCGGTCCCACGGGAGGGACTTCAGGCCTGGTGCCGGTCAGCCTCAGGAGGGGGAGGAAGGGTGGTGGCTGAGAGGTGTCCTCCCCCTCAGGGTGTCTGCAGGGGAATCAGAGACAGCCAGGGCCGTCACTAGGAAGGAGGGGCGCAGTGGAGAGTCCAGGCCAGAGACAGTCAAGCGCTCAGCCTTGGCCAGGCCTCCCTGGAGCCGGAAGTGCTGCGGAGGCTGCCAAGGCCGAGTCCCCTCCCCAGGGACCTGCAGTGCCATTCCCAGCAGTCCCAGTTCTTCACRCTGAGGACAGTGCCCTGGGTTCCTCTGACTGACTCAGAGGGAGTGGCTGCTGTGTGAAGTGACAGGTAGGGGACAAAGCCAGATGGGGGTCTCCAYGCTACGGAGACCACAGTCTGCCCCGGGGGAGCCTGGGGGAGCCTGGGCTGCTGAGGCCAGAGGGAGGCTGCCCGGGCCCCGGGATGGCAGGTGCCTGCGGTGCAGGGGRTGCCCTCCTGCCCGCGCTTCCAGACCCACCTGGGAGGTCCTGTGCCCCTGCCTGCAGCTGGGGAGGTGCTCTGTCCAGCGCCCACCACACGTGCGCTAGGGCCTTCCCAGTCGCCCTGGAGGAGAAGGGCACACGGGCACCCATGCCGCCCACAGCCCCCTCCTGGCCGGGCCTCTGAGCACAGTGGACCCAGGCAGAGGGTTGCTCCTGGCTCTGACTCCCAGGGGAGGGGCACCTCAGAATCTAGCTCTTCACTTCATTTGATGTCAGGAATCTTCCAGAAAAGACCCAGACATGGTCAATTCTTTTTTCCCTGGTACCAGAGGTTGACCCAGGGGCGCTTAACCCGAGCCCCATCCCCAACCCACTTCTGTATATTTTGAGACAGGGTCCCACTACGTTTCTCAGGGCCTGGCTCAACTGCTGAGGCTGGCCTTGAACTTGGAATCCTTGGGGCATGGAGGATTTCACCTGGAGTTCTGGAGGTTCATGGATCCTCTGAGGTTCATCTGGGGACCCGGGTTGCAGGTTGAGGATTTGAGATGTGCAAAAGAGTGTTTTCCAGATGAGGGGACAGAGACCTGTAAGTGCATCGCACCCRGGTGTCCTCTGTGGGCAGCAGGAATTGTTTCACGTTCCACAGCCACTCAGGCGCGTGACCGAGCACAGTCACTTTTCTCAGTTTCTCATCTGAGAAACGGGACAGCACCGTTCAATCCTGCTGGGCTGGCAGAGTGACCGAGGAGAAGGTGCATCAGGCCCTGGGCGCCGCTGCGGGAGGTCTCCCAGGTCACCACAATGGGGGAGGGGCGGCACAGAGCCCGCCATCCCTTGCCATGACTGAGCAGTGTCCTCCTCTCCAGGCCACTAGCTGACCATTGCCCGGCTTCCCTTGGCTATGGACACCCCTGKCTATCCTTCACTGGTGCCCACGACCTCGGACCCGGGGAACACCTCCTTGTCCTGGCTCCTGGATGTCACTGCGGGCAACGCCTCCTYGGGCCCTGGCCCTGCAGGGCTGGCCGTCAGCGGTGTTTTGATCCCTCTGGTCTACCTGGTGGTGTGCGTGGTGGGGCTACTGGGCAACTCGCTGGTCATCTACGTGGTCCTGCGGCACACGGCCAGCCCGTCGGTCACCAGCGTCTACATCCTCAACCTGGCACTGGCTGACGAGCTCTTCATGCTGGGGCTGCCCTTCCTGGCCGCCCAGAACGCCCTGTCCTACTGGCCCTTTGGTTCCTTCATGTGCCGCCTGGTCATGGCGGTGGACGGCATCAACCAGTTCACCAGCATCTTCTGCCTCACKGTCATGAGCGTGGACCGCTACCTGGCCGTGGTGCACCCCGCGCGCTCCGCCCGCTGGCGCACAGCGCCCGTGGCGCGCACGGTCAGCGCGGCCGTCTGGGTGGCCTCGGCCGTGGTGGTGCTGCCCGTGGTGGTCTTTTCGGGCGTGCCGCGGGGCATGAGCACCTGCCACATGCAGTGGCCSGAGCCGGCGGCCGCCTGGCGGGCGGGCTTCATCATCTACACGGCGGCGCTCGGCTTCTTCGGGCCGCTGCTGGTCATCTGCCTGTGCTACCTGCTCATCGTGGTGAAGGTGCGCTCGGCGGCGCGCAGGGTGCGGGCGCCCTCGTGCCCGCGGCTGCAGGCGCCCTCGTGCCCGCGGCGGCGGCGCTCGGAGCGCAGGGTCACGCGCATGGTGGTGGCGGTAGTGGCGCTCTTCGTCCTCTGCTGGATGCCCTTCTACGTGCTCAACATCGTCAACGTGCTGTGCCCGCTGCCCGAGGAGCCCGCCTTCTTCGGCTTGTACTTCCTGGTGGTGGCGCTGCCCTATGCCAACAGCTGTGCCAACCCCATCCTCTACGGCTTCCTCTCCTACCGCTTCAAGCAGGGCTTCCGCAGGGTCCTGCTGCGGCCGTCCCGCAGAGTGCGGAGCCAGGAGCCCGCCGGCCCCGAGAAGACGGAGGAGGACGAGGAGGAGGAGGGAGAGGAGGGCGGGGAGGAGGAGGAGCGGGGAGGGAGGAAAGGCCAGGAGATGAACGGCAGGGTCAACCAGGTGGCGAAGCCCGGCACCAGCAGGCAGGAGCAGCTGCCCGGCAGAGCGGCCAGCAAGGAGCAGCAGTTCCTGCCCCAGGAGCCCTCGGTGGGGGAGAAGTCTAGTACCCCACACATCAGCTACCTGTAAGGGTCCTGGGAGGAAGGGCGGGGCCTGCCGCCAGCCGAGGGCATCCTGTCTGAGGTCTCAGAGGCCCAACATGGGACGTTCAGAGGCCTGTAGTGGGATCCCACTGCTGGGTGGCCTTGGCAGGTCGCTTACCCTCTCTGGGCCTTATTTCCTTGTCTGTAACTCAGGGGTGGGAATACTGAGCCTGGTTGAGCTCTGTTAGATTGAGGGGTCTGGAGGGCGTGGCTACTGGGCTGACCTTCTTGAGTGGGGCCCAGGTTAGGGGGCTCTGCAGCCTGTCCCTCAGACATGGAGCCTCCTGGGGATGAGCCTGCACCTTGGCCCTCAGAGGGACAAACCAGGCCTGAACTTTCTGGGCTCACACTCAGGGATGTGGGAGATGCTGGGGAGCAGACAGGAGCCCCAACAGAAGAAGTGGAAGTCTGGGGGAGGGGCAGCGGAACTGCTCAGGCCCCAGGTCAGTTCTCCCTGGCCCTTGAGGCCCCCTTCACCTCTGGCCTCACATGCTGCCAACTCAGTGACCTCCAGGCCCTTGTGGCCCAAGTGGTCAGCGCCGGACCTCGCGTGCTGTCGAGCATGACGAGAGGAGGCAGATTTTCCAGGAAGTCCAGCTTCAGGGTGTCTTGCTGCCTGGGCCCTTTTGAGGCCCCAGGTCTAATCTTGTCCTTGTGATTTACATTCCTTTCCTTGGGGAGGGACTCCACRCTTGGGCCACCCAGAGCCTAGCGGGGTCCTGTTGAGGTCAGCCACTGACTTCAGGCAGCTCACTGTAGGGGCTCCRGAGCTGCCCAGGTCATGGAGGGCTGCAGGCATCTCCTACAGGACCAGCCCCGTCCTCCTCCTTTTGACCCATGTCCCCTCACAGACAAGACGGACATGACCCACACAGATGGCGCAGGAAGGCAGAGTTTCTATGGAGCAGAGCTGGGAGGGTCACAGGGGAGGAGGTTAGGGGAGAAGAGGAGGAGGGGGAGGGACAGGAAGAGAAGGAGGAGGACAGGTCTGTTTGGGACCTTGGAGCCGTCCTTGGCTCCTCTGGGCTGGACCCAGGCCCTGGGAGTGGAGCTGGCTCCCAGGGCAGCGGAAGGTTGGAGAACTTCTGCAGGCTGCGGGAGCTGGCCTCCCTGCTTTCTGTATTCCATGGGGGAATACAGGGAGCAGCCGCTGTCCAGGTCCCTCCCAGAGCTGACCCTGTAGGGCCACCATGAGGCTGGCCCTGGGGAGGGGGGTCCTTCTGCTAAGCCCCCCCTGCCCCCACAGAGGGCAGGCGCTCCTCAGGGAAAACACAGGAGCCAGGAGAGTGGAGAGCTGGTCTCTGGCTCACCTCAGGACCCTTACTGGCCTTGACCTCTCTGGGCCTCAGTTTCCCCATCATGAAACAGAGGTGGCATCCAGCTGGCTGCCTGCTGGGATCTGGAGAGACAAACAAGTGAGTGGGTGGGTTACCGAGCTCCTGCCAGGGACACCTTGGATCACGGAGCGGGCGCACCTCCACCCCCAGGGCTGGCCTGCACCCTCCTCTTTTAGCAAGTGGCCTCTGTATTGGGGTTTTGGAGGTGAGAACACCGTAGGCCACGAAGAATGGGGATTAGGAGGCCAGAGGTCAAGGGTCAGGGAGGCAGGGCTAAGAGAAGGGAAGTTCCCACACCCAGACCTCCTGGTGGTTGGAGGTCAAACACCCAGCTCTGGGGCTCAGTCTGGGGTTCCCCTGAGGAGAATCTGAGGGTCTTCCCTGGCTGACTCTGCTCCCCAACTCCTGGCRCAGGTCAGCAATGGGTCTGGGGACTGGTTAAGACATCTTTTACTGCTTCTGCCCCTAGCACTTGTCAATAAAGACGGTGACACACGACAAGAGCAATGGTCTGGGCCAATTCTTCTGCTGGCTGCTGTGTGTTCAGATGGGTGTGAATGTGTGGGTGTCGGGAGCCCACATTTTTTTTCTGAACTGGGGATTGAACCCAGGGGTGCTCTACCCCTGAGCCACACCTGCAGCCCTTTTAGTTTTTATTTTGAGACACTGTCTCACTAAGTTGCAGAGTCTGGCCTTGAACTTGCAATCCTCCTGTCTCAGGCCCCCGAGCTGTTGGGATTACAGGTGTGTGCCCACATTATTACTTTATGGAACAACATGACTTCACGTCCCAAGCACCTTCCAGTTTCATGAAGATGCTCGCTTTACTTCCTTGAACTTGGTGTCTTAGCTGAGAAAAGGGACAACTTGCTGGATTTGGTACATCAAGCTCTTGGCTGGGGTACAGGAGGTCTCCAAGAGAGTGGTGGCACAGAGACAGCCATCTCTGGCCATGAAGGAGCTGTGCCCTCCCTCCCCCAGGTCACTGCTGACGTTGACAAGCCTCCTCTTGATCACGGACCCCTGCTTATCCACCGGGTGCACGTGAGCTGGGAACACAGTGTGCTCTACATACCCGCTTCTTTTTGTGTGACTTCCCAGAGTTCAGGTCCTTCAAGGGGCCTAGCAAATGCCAGGCCTGGGCCACATCCTTACAGATGTTGATCCCAAGGCCGCAGGTACCATTTCTTCCTATTTTCCAATTAGCAAATCTCATAGAAGAAAGCCGATTGGCTTCAACTGAGTCACATGATGGTCCCTTGGGCCAATTACCAAAGACAAGGTGACAGGGTTCCATGACTGGCCAAATGCGGGTCCATGTGTCTCCGCCTCCAGCCAGAGAAAGGCGAGGCGCTGTGGKGGGACACCGGCTAAGGCGGGGGAGGGAGGCCAGGGACATATTAGTGATGGAGGAGAAGGCAGGCCAGGCATCCAGAACGGAGCCGCAGGGCTCGCTGGGCGCGGTGGTGAAGGTCTGGTGAGCGCAGTGCAGGGCCGAGTAGGTGCTCGGGACCTCTCAGGTGAGCGTGTCTCGGGCGTTCCCTGTGGCAGGCCTGCGTGGAGTGAGCGCGGAGGACTCCGGGAGCCAGGGCACCGTGTGGGAGCCGGGCCACCTCGTCGGGTCCCTCCTCTGGCCCCTTCAGTTCCATACTTCTCCATACCATGTCACTGCCTATGTGTGCCCCCAGGCACGCATGTGTGTTGGTGTCCTTATCCCATGTATCTGACAGCCTTGTCCCTCCCAGGGCAGGACGTCCCAGGRCCTGCATCTCGGGCCTAGTCTCGCCGCTGCGCGCTCTCCCTGTGCCTGGAATCAAAGCACGAGCAGGACCATTGCGCTTCACACCTGCAGGGGGCGCTGCGCACACCGTGCMGCTAAGCCTCCTTTGGAGTTCTGCATGGCAGAACTGAATAATGRTGGCAATTGAATAAATGGGTGTGTGGGGCTGCGGAGGGGATTGGCTGGGGAGACTGAAGGGGCTCCATTTGGCATTTGGGCTAGAATCTATGGGGGAGGGGAGCCCAGGGGCTCCAGGATGAGGGGAGGGTCCATGGCTGAGAGGTGGAGTGGGAAGGGAGGGACCACCCACTCTATCTGAGTCGTCCTCTCTAGCCATCCAAGTTGTCAGACTSGAGCCCTTACCTTGAACTTGTCCCTCAGAAGTGGTTGCCAGGCAACAGCCCACGTCCACCAGGCTCTGGGCCACAACTTGTCGTGTTGGCATCCGCATTGCCAGAGAGCCTCTGGGAGTCACAGGACCCGTGGGAGGGGAGGCGGAGGCCCTCAGTCTTTGGGCTCCTCCTTGCTTGGAAGGGGTGATAGAGGCCACCGACCCAAGGGTAGGTGACAGCCTGGAATGTATGGGACTCCTGACTCAGAAAAAACTCTCAGGAAGCCAGAATCCCAGACAGCGAGCGGCTCACATGGCTTCCTGGAGTTGTGCAAGGCCACAGGCCACCAAGGCCTCAGGCACTCCTTGTCATTGGCAGCCCTGCTGAGAGTCTTGGTGGCTCCACTGTGGGGCAACGAATGCCCTGAAAGTCCCAGGACCCAAAGTCAGGAGTCCCAGGTCCTAGGCCCCTCTCTGCCATAAGCCTCGTGTGGCCTCCAGCCATTTATGTCACYTGTATGCACATAGTTCATTTTGTTAACGAAGGTTTTTCTGGCCACCAGCTATATGATGGGCCCGACACAGGGTTGGAAACCAGGAGGCCATGGACACAGGACTGTGCCCCAGCACTCATGAGCAGCCACCTGTGGGTCACTATGCTGTGGGCTGTGGGCGAGCAGAGCTGGGCTGCACTGACCCGGATGTTGCAGCCTAAGGCAGGGATCAGACAGCAGCAGGGTTTTCTCCTGATCCAATGGGACTGGTGCCAAGGAGAGGAGAGATTTGGACACAGAGGTGCACACAGGGAGAATGCCACAAAAATACGGAGGTGAGGTGATGCCTCTCCAGCCAAGGACGCGAGCGATGGCCAGCCAGCCACCAGAGGCCGGGAGAGGAGCATGGACCAGGATGCCTCCATCTGCACTGCCAGCCTCCAGAAGCCCGAGGCAGGCCTTTGTGGTGTGGAAGCCTGCGGGCCTGCCGTGCTTCGTCAAGGCTGCCCTAGCACATGGAGACCATCCCGCCTGCCCTCCCCGGTCCCTGGAGGATTCCTTCCCTCCTTCCACAGGTGACTTATCGGGTGCTGTCAACTGCCCAGGATGGCGAGCAGAGATGGACAAGGCCTGTCTTCTAAGAGCCCAGGACGTTCCAGGGAAGAGGCAGTTCTGAAGCCCATGACTCCTGTTCCGGGTGGGAAAACAGACCTGGGATGGGAGGTGATGCGTACAGAGCTCTGCAGAGGAGGGACAGGGCATGGCCTCTCTGCCTTGCTTTCTGCTTTAATGGCCAGGAAATGTGTCAATATTTACTCATGGGAATGGCAGGCCCTGCCACGCTGGGTCAGCACACCCAGAGCAGGCTTCGTGTCTCCATATGCAAGACCACAACGGTCTCTACTCTCTGCTATGTCCCTACCACCTCCTCACAGGGCCGGGAGGGTCTCGCCCTGCTCTGGCCATACTCAATGGCCCCTATCTATTATGGGATGAGGGAAGCATAGGCTTGCCTGTTTACCTGGGCAAAATGGCAGGTGGGCTCTTGGCCACGCAACATTTGAACCTAGCTGCAACCCTTCTTAGCTCTAAGTGCCTCTGAGCTAGCCTTGGAACCTCTCTGAGCCTCAGTTTCCTCATCGGCGAAATGGGCTCCACAACCCCATCTCACAGGACCAGGAGGCGGAGGCTTTTTGGCTCCCACCGGGGTCAGCTCTGAGCCTTCTGTCCGGCAGGGGGCGCCACGGGACCTCAGGCACGTCCCTTTYCCCCTCGGCGCCCGCCCCGCTCGGACTCAGCCCGACTCAGCTCGACTCGGCCCCGCTCGGATCCACTAGGCCAGGCTCGGCTCTATTCGTTTGGAGCCGTCTGGGCTCGGCTGGACTCGGCTCTATTCGGCTGCACGCGACCAGACTCGGTTCTGCTTAGGCAAGCCCGGCCTCGTTCGGATGTGCTCGGCTCGGCTCGGCTCGGTGCTGGCCACCGGGAGCTTACGGCTGTTTGCGCTCCACGTGTCGGGCTTCCGGGGTGCAGCCCCTGGCGCGGGGACCGAGCTGCTTGCTAGCCCTCGCGCAGGCTGGTCCTTGCGGGTGGATCCCATGTGGCTGGGTGCCGAGGGTGCCCTGAGCGTGGCCGCTGTCGTGGAGATGAAGTTCCGTCAGGGTCACTCAGTGTTGGGGACTCGGTGGAGCCGACCGGGGCTCCCCCMGCTGGAGGCCAGGCGGAGTGGTGCTGCTGGCGAGAGGGACCCTGCCACTTTGCAGGGAATGCTGGCCCTGAGGAGGAAGTGGGTGGAAGGGCGCCCCAACCAGCCCCGAGCGTCCCTTCCTGTCCCCTGACCTCTTCCTTGGGAGGTGGGACGGGGCTGGTGGGGTGCGCGGCTGCCCCTGTCCGGGTCGCAGTGCGGGCTGCGGTGCACAGCGGCTCTCCCCAGCAGGTGGCGCTCACGCTTCCCTTTGTGTAGTGATCAAATTGGCTGATGACCTTGAACAAGTCGCATCTGTAACTGGCCTTTTCTGACTTACATCGTTGACCCCAGGAGTCATCGCGGCTGCCTTCTAAGTGGGGGTGGGGGAAGGTTGGGGTGGCAGGGGGAGCACAGCTCTCATCTTCACAGGGGTCAGGCCTTCTGCACTGGGGTTACGCCTGTGCCAWGGCAGAGTGCAGAGGACATGCCAGGGACCCTAGGCTTCCACACGGGGGTGTGTGGGAGGAGAGTGGGCACATAGTTCACCATATTCCGGATTTAGCCGGGGAAGCCCTGGTGGCAGCCATAGGCAGCGACCCTGCTGCCTGTCCACCTGGTGCTCAGGTTCTTTGTTTTCTCATGCCATCTGGCCAGGGGACGCCAGGGCTCAGGTATGGAAACCCGCCCAAGGCCACCCAGCTAGAAGGAGGTGGAAGTAAGCCACAACCCGAGTTTGTCTGCCCCAGGGCCAGCACTGTCTCCAAGCCACCTGCCGAGGAGACCCTCATGGCTCAGAGGCCACAGGTTGATGCCMAAATTCAGGGATCTGCAGGGCAGAAAGAGTGAGAAGAAGACTGTTGAGGTCGGAAAGTCCCAAGCTCTGCTTTCTTGTCTTGCTCTATCCCGAGCAGCTGCTCTGGACCCAGGGGACAAGGCCCCTTCTCTGGGGCGTCACATGGCTGGAAACCCATGATGCTCRCCCTGGGACTGGCCAGCCCTCCCCTCCCCAGACCTCAGCCTCCTCCTCTGTYAAGTGGATGGGCAGCTTCGCCCTGCAGAGGGCACACGCGCTCACACACGCCCCACCTGCCTCCCCCCTTCTCTCCATCCCCCTTCCAAACAAGCCCCAGGCTCTGAGACAGCCCAATGCTTCCCCACCCCCATCCTGCTGACTCAGCCCTTTCCCCTGGTGGCGGCAGTGTGGGGAGGGTGGCYGCCCGCAGCGGCCCTGGCTCTGTGCCCTGGGAATGCTGCCGGAGGCAGAGCCCTGCAGACAGCGTGGCCAGAGTGGGCCTGACGTGGGTGCCTGTGGCCATAGTCCCTCCAACTGCTTTCCTCGGGTCCCTGGTGGCCCTCAATAGACCTCGGGCTCCACGGCGCTTTGTGGAGGGGTGGGTGGGTTGGTGGCTGGGGGGACAGCACAAGGCTGGGAGTCAGCGGAGTCTGGCTCCCATCCCAGCCTGGACTCCACTCTGCTCTGTGGCCTTGAGCCAAAGCCTTGGCCTTCCCGGGCCCCAGAGTCCCTGCCAGTCAGATTAAAGAATCGGCTTAGCTCATCTGCGAGGCTTCTCCCAGGCCTGACGTTCTGCTGTATGACTGTCCCTAGAGATGACCGTGGTCACGGGCACACAGCCCAGGGGCTGCTCCGTCTTCTCACTGGGCACCGTGAGTGTGGACTGGGTTTAACCTGCAAAGCCCAGATGTCACTGTGTCCCCTCGGGGCCCTCCCCTGCCCATGCATGCCACAGTGGGCACTCTGGTTGGCTGAAGAGCACTCGGGTTCTGCAGGGCCTGGGGTCCTGTCCACTGGCTGTGTGGAAGTCCCCCGKACTGCAGGACTCCAGCTCCCTCGGGAGCCTGGGGGAGCACCAGTTGAAATGACGAGTAAAAATGTCCCTTGGGAACAAAGGCTCGTAGAGAGACAGCGCCTGGCCCAGGCCGTAGGTACTCAGTAAACGTGGAACAGGAGGTAGGAAGGGTCTTTGCATCCGGGTCTGTAGCCCCAGGAAGCCAGGTGCCAGAGCGGTAGCCTTGGCCGGACTCCCCTCGCTTAGCCAGAAGGAAACTGAGGCAGGAGCCGGTCACACAGGCTGCTCTCCTGTGGATTTGGGGGATCWTCTCTGTGGGGGTTGGCCCTAGGAGACCAGGAGGCTGGAAGGGCTTTGTACACATGGGCAGAGGGACCTGGGGAGGTCATGTCTGTCCAGCCTTTACCAAGCTGTCCCATGGGCCTCCTATGGAGGGTCTGAGAGGTGAGGTCACTGATGGGTAGCAGGGCAAGGGTTTGAGCCCATGGTCCAAAGGACAGTGCCAGCACCCTCACCTCTAGCCACCCTTCTTCTGTGGCTTGCAGACGGCTCAGGCTCCTCAGGGGGACCCCGGGTAGGGCTGGAAGTCTGCAGTGTCACCTCCCCACTTCCAAGCATCTTGGGGACTCCCGCTCCCCTCCTGTCTCGGTTCCAGTCCGCTCGGAGGGTGGAGGGGCCGTGGACTCCCCTCTGCTCTGACTTTGCAGGCCCTGACTCCCCCAGAACCCCACCGGACCAGCAAAGAGTTAAGCCAAGGAAATCCCAGCCCCCCTATCTGGTGGAATCCAGGGCGGCAGGGGAGGGCCGGAGGAGGGGCAGTGGGAAGCCAGCTGGCTCCTCCGCCCTCCGCCTGCGCCCTCCTCCATCCCGCCGCCCGCCCGCCCACTGGGGCCTGGGGGTCTGGGCCAGCAACAAGTTATGATCGCAGCCATGGGCCAAGGAGCCAGAGGCCGCCCAGAGGCCCAGGGTCCGTGAGCCGCAGGGCGAGGCCTCAGGACACAGGGTGAGTGTGGCCACAGGCTCCTCGGCTTCTGCCCGGGGCTGAGGGGCCTGGGGTCAGAGCCTGGGGTTCTTCTTCTCTCCCCTCCTCCTGGACAGGCCCTGCTCCCCACCCCCTGACCAGGCCAGCCCCTGGGGCATCCCCTCCCCTCCTGCTGGCCGTGGCCAGGGGCTCCCCTCAACGGCGCTGGCTCAGCTCCAGCCCTCGGTCTAGCCCAGCCCACCTGGTCCCCCTGCCACCCACCCAGAAGACCCAGCTCCCCAGCGGAGGCAGCAGAGACCCCTACAGTCACCCTCGATGCCATGGCTCCCACACTGGGTCCGTGCCTGGCAGCCTCCCCGGGGCGGCCAGCAATTCTAGCTGTGGCCACCGCTGCTGCTCTGCTTCCTGCTTCCTGCTCCCTGGCCCCGCTCTGCGGCTGGTTGTCATTCCCATCTGGCTGGGCCAATAGGGAACAAAGCTGTCTCCAAGCCTTGCCAGCCCTCTGGAAAAGTTGTGAGCCTCCGGCCCGCGCTGGCACACGGAAGAGGCTGCCCCAGGCAGAGGAAGGAAGAGATTCTTACAAGTCTTTGACAGGACAGGCACTCTCCCTGCCTATGGGCCTCTCAAATAGTCGTCTCCCTGGCAGGGAGRTGCTGGCAGAGAACAGGAAACCCAGAGAGGTTAAGTCAGTAGTCTTGGGTTGCACACCTTGTGAACGACTCAGATCTCAGTTCTGAATCTAAGGGCTCAGCTTTTCCCACAGGATGAGGCCACACCTATGGCCAGAGAGAAGGGGAATCTGTTCAGAGCTGTAGTTTATAACTGAAAGGGGAGGGCGATAAATCGAGGAGTGCAAGCCTGTTGAGCCAATTCAGGAAGACCCCACCCCAGGGTGGGCAGAGAAGAGCTTGGGAAGGGTCACCTCCCAGAGGTGGGGTGGCTCTGGAGACTCCAGGCTTCTGCCTCCCCTGGCCCCCAGGGCTCCTGCCCCTTCAAAACCCAGCTCCTCCCTCTGTGCTCGGCTGAGCTAGCATGGCATTTCAAAAGACCGCTTTACCCTCTCTGGGTGTATTAACCGCAGAAAAATATTTTTGAATTGTACTAAATGTTAAGGGAGAGCATAAAGGAAATAAACAAACAAGAGCCGGAGTGTAAAAACCAGTCTGGTTTCAAAAGCTGAGTTTCTGAGTTTCTGATCCTGCGATAACTGGGTGGCGCCAGCCCCCAAGGAGGCTGCCACCACCTCAAAGGCTTGCTGCCTGGCTTCCTGCCCACCCGTCCCCAAGCCGTCTCCTTTGGCTGGTGGCCAGGCTACTTCCTGCCCTGCTCCTGCCACTCTGGACCTCTGTCAAAGACAGATCCTCACACCAATCCTTGGACTTYCCTAGTCCTGCTTCTTCATTCCAATTTACCACCCTGGCAGCTGATTGGCAGGTCTACGATGATTGACACAACCACCTTCCAATGACCTAACTCGCTCTGAGCTTTCTCTGCAGAGCTCAGGGTAGGGTTGAGTTGCCCAGGTTGCTGACTGCGCAGAGATGCTGTGTGAGACGGGCTTACACCAGCCTTGCTAAGTCGCACACCTGTACAGTGGCGTTTCCCCAAAGGGGACGTCTTGGTTTCTAATTTGTCCATCCAGAGGGTGCCTTCTCTACTTCACAGAAAGGTGCTACAAAGGCTAGGATGGCCTGCAGCCTCCACTCAGCATGCCAACCTGGGTCCTCCAGGATTCAATACCCATCACCACGCGTGACCCCTGCGTCTCTTGTGTACCCTCCTTGCCACCTGCCCGAGGAGCACTCCTGTTCCCTTTGCTGGGACCGTGGAGTTTCCAGGCAGAGCAGGGCCAACCACCCCTCTTCTCTCCTGAGAAGCCGMGTGCAGGATCCCTTGGGCTTGTCCCCAGTGGCTCTGACTCCCTCCTGCTGCCCCGGGCGGGGCAGAGGGTCCAGAGCAGGCGGATGGAGGGGAGAGGGGTGTTTTCTGGTCTCCTTGGTTACCGTGCACGGGSCACTGGGGCATCCTCCTCACCCTCCCCCAGCCCCGCCAAGGCCCCTGGGACCGTCATGCRCTTGGGTCTTCAGAGGGGCATCCTCCGGTCCTGCCAGCGTGTGGCAGAAGCCACATGGACAGGCGCCCACTGGGAGACTCAGTGTCCAGGCCGCAAGTCGGTGTCCTCAGGGAGCTGGCGTCCCTGTGTGACCTCAGTCTTCGTGTCTGTTAAATGGGGGCCCACCCGTGGCTCCCCGAGTTCTGCAGCAGCAGCCACCMTGGGCACCGCACATGGAGATGTTAAGTGAGATGCGGTTTCTGTTCCTCCTTCCTCTTTCCAGGTCACCATGGGGACACCTACCCTGGGTCCCCTCTGGGCAGTACTCCTGCTCCCTCTTGTGGTGTCTGGGGTCCCCACTGAGGAGCCCACCTCCGGGGAAGCTGTGGCCTCCAACCCCTCTGGGGGCTGCCGACAGTGCTGTGACTCCGAGGACCCCCTGGTGGATGCCGCGGAGGTGTCCCCAGCCTCTCCCTCTGCCCTTCCCTACCTCCTGCCCGAGGTCAGGCCCTACATCAACATCACCATCCTGAAGGGTGAGTCCCACAGGTGGCTGGGGGGACTGTAGGGGACAGGGGGGCCTGGGGGGAGGTGGTGGAGCGGGAGAAGCCAGGGCAGGTCTTTCTGTCACTCACATGTGTGTGGAGCACCCAGTGTGTGCGGGGGGCTCCGAGTGCAGAGGCCGGAGCAGGGGCAGGGGCCACAGCACGGGCCGAGGCCCCAGGGCAGGGGCTGAAGAAGCAGGGAAGGGGGCGGGAAGCAGGCCACACCCCCGAGCCCGTCCCTGCCAGTCCCCATCAGCACCCTGCTTGTCCCCCAGAGGGGCAGGTGGCGTTGAGATGAGGAACCTGATTCTACTCAGGCTTCAGGTGGATCCTGCTCATGTCATGTGCAGAACAAGTGGCAGGGGACAAAGGTGCAAGCCGGAAGCCTGTGGGGGCCACAGGGCCATCCAGGAGAGGGCTGGCTTCCTGCCCTCTACCATCAGCCATGAAGGACATTACGCGGGGCTCTGAGCGGTGACACCCTGGCCAGGCCCTCTGCCTCCTTGTCTCCCTCTTTGCGCACACTGACCCCAGAGGCGGTACTTTATCATCCCGCCCACTTGGCAGATGAGGAGACCGAGTCTCCGATGGGAGAGAAGCTCTCCTGGGATCACACAGCTTCCAGGACAGACTGGGATACGTCGTGGAGTTCTTCACAGGGCTGTCCCCCTCTGGTGGTCAGCTGGCCTCTGAGGCCTCTGCCCCAGATGTCACCTTCTGGTCTTATGTTCGGGTCAGCCTGGAGCAAGGACTGGGAGGTGTGCCTGCCTGGGGACTTGGTTACAGTCTACTGGCCCCCAGGGCAGGTGGAGACGGACTGGGGGGGGGGGTGTTACAGGGCAGGTGGCCCTGCCCCTAATTGCAGAGTTTGCCTTGCGTGTGTCCCATGTCCCCATGCTTTGTGGGGGGCTCACCAGCTGGCCTGTGAGGCCCGTCAAGGTACAGACAGGAGAAGCGAAGCCCACCCAGGACCTGCCCCACGTCACTGCGTGCGCAGTAGGACCGCATGCAGTAGGACCGGGGCTGTTGGATTCTGTGGTTTTCCGGGAGGGGGGGGRCGGTTCTTGGTTCCTTCTCTGGGTCACTAAGGAGTGCACCCCCACGCCCCACCTGCCTGCCAGCCTGGACAGTGTGGGCCTCCCTGCTGGGGAGGAGGAGCAGGCTGGTCTGGGAACGGACCATGTCTTGAGTTGTGGAGATGGTCGCGGCTTCTCCTCTAAGGAGGCTCTTGGGGAGGTGAMGTCGGGCGCTCAAGGGGTCACCATCAGTGCCGGGGCTTCCCGGGGCCCACGCAGGGGCGGAGCCTTCTAGAGAAGAGTCCTGGCGCACAGCTCGCTCATCCTGACGCTTCCCCTTAACATCTCCACAGGTGACAAAGGGGACCGTGGCCCGCTGGGCACCCCGGGGAAACTGGGCAAAGAGGGTCCCCGAGGGGACCGTGGCCCGCAGGGTGCCAAGGGCGCCAAGGGGCAGGCCGGCAGCCCGGGCAGCCCGTGCCAGACGCGCTCCTCCGCCTTCTCCGTGGGCCGCAAGACGGCGCTGCACAGCAGCGAGGGCTTCCAGCCGCTGCTCTTCGACACGGTCTTCGTGAACCCCGACGGCCACTTCGACATGGCGGCCGGCCGCTTCGTGGCGCCCCTGCGCGGCCTCTACTTCTTCAGCCTCAACGTGCACAGCTGGAACTTCAAGGAGACCTACGTGCACGTGGTGCACAACGAGGCGGCCGCCGTCATCCTGTACGCGCAGCCCAGCGACCGCAGCATCATGCAGAGCCAGAGCGTGATGCTGGCGCTGGCGCCCGGCGACCACGTCTGGGTGCGGCTCTTCAAGCGCGAGCGCGAGAACGCCGTGTACAGCGACGACGTGGACACCTACATCACCTTCAGCGGCCACCTCATCAAGCCCGAGGACGACTGAGCGCCTCCTGGGGCCGCAGGCTGCCGGCTCCTCTGGGAACAGGGTCTCTCCTCACTGCCACCTCCACCCRTGCCCCCAGCTGCTCCTGTCCCTCTATCCTCTCCTGGACTCACTTTCTGACCTGAGTTTTCTAGGCCTCTTCCAACCTGGAAGCCCAGCGCGTCCACCCCGGGGACCTCCTTGAATTGCAGATTCTTGCTCCCTGGGTCTGGGCCAGGGCTCCGGCTTACTATCTGGATCCTGGTTGATGCTGATGCTGCTGGTCTGAGGACCATGTTGGAGTCATCAGGTTCTAGAACTTTCCCAACATTCTAGTCCTTCTGATCATTCTGGAATCCCCCCCTCCTAGGATTCTCCCAACATCCTCAGATTCTCTCGTCACTCTGCACTCTCCCCTCCTCTGTTCTCTGTGCCCTTTCCCCTCTCCATCCCCATCTCTGCACCCACCTTTCATTTATTCATTCATCAAACACTGAGCACTCACTCGGCCCGGMCCTGGGAAAGCTGAGGCAGTCAGACCCWGGCCCTGCCCCCTGCTCCTTCCCAGTGTCCCCTGCCCCTGGTGAGCCCCCAGTCTAGCCCTGGTGGGGGTGGGGAAAGACACCATGGGTGCTCTGGGGGTCTGAACCAGATCCTGCAAGGCCGAGAGCTGTGCCCACACAGGCCGGTGTCCTCATTTTCCACTGCTCCCTGGGGGCACAGGGTCCCCAGGGTGGAAATGGAATCCTCCTGTGTGTGCCCTGCTGTCCAATGCCCGTCAGAGCAAACCCCAGGGGGGCCTTGCCCAGTTCAAGGGTCCTGTGAAAAGACCCAGGGATTGGGAGCATTTGGGGGTAAAGCACCCTGTGGAATGACACCAGGCTCCTGGCTTCCCACAGAGCTGGTGTAGGGACCCAGGAGGACTCCCCRACTTGTCCCTGGCTCTCCCTCCCTGTCCTGTCCCAGGGCTCTGCCAGGGCCTCGCTCAGCCCCTCTTGCCAAAGGCATCTGAGCCTGTTTCCCAGAACTTCCAGCCACTGGCAGACACCCATGTCTGTCCCCAGGTGCTCTCCAACGCTCTAGGTCCCTCTCGCTAGCCCARTGTCCCTGACTCACCAGGCTCTGAAAGGTGCTCAGGCCCCAGGGGGCAGCTCCTGCCTGCATAGCCCCTGCCAGCCTGGCAATGGGCCAGGACGGAAGGCTCSGGCTGTGGGGCCCTCAGCAGGTCTGGGAGCAGGGGCAGCAGTGTTCAGGTCATTGGTCCCCCACCCCAGCCACGCCGCCAAGAGAGGCCCTGGAGAGGCCAAAGGAAAGCAGGACATCAGGCCTCTATCCCTCTCCCTTCTCCAGGGCGTGTGGCCTGGTGGCTGCCAGCCTTCCTCTGCCCCAACCCAGGTAGCCTGACCGTCTCCCCAGAGGGGGGTYGCCTCTGCCCACTGGTGCTTCTGCAGATTCTGGGGCAGAGGTGGCCTTGCGGGGTGGTCTCTGGTGCTCACAGCCAAGGGAGCTGTGGCCACGTGGGCAGGCCACGGGAGCAGGGCCTGCCATGTGCCACAAAGGCTGGTGCTATAAAACCACCCAGCCCTGCTGTGCCCTGCCCGCTTGCCCAGCGCGATTAAAGGATGCTGCGTTCTCCTGGCGGCTCGGGCTGATTCTTTCTGTCTGCGCCCCTGGCCCTCCTCCAAGAGCAGCTGTTCCTGGTCCTGCTGGGGCCTGGATCCAAGATGCARAGAGACTGGGGCAGCCCCAGGCTTCACTCTGTGCGCTCCCTGCCCACATAGAAACTGGCCCCTGGTCACTCATARCCAGTGTGCCCTGGAGTTGGAACCAGCTCAGAGACCGCGGTGACCTAGGGAGTCCCCACCCTGAGCCTTAGTTCACTCAATATACCTGGGGCTGATGGCAGTTGACCACAGGGGGTGACCACAGGCTTAGAGGGGTGCCAGCATTTATTGAGCACCTGTGGTGTGCACAGAGGCCACAGTGAAAGCACAGCGCCTTGCTTCCTTGGAGAATATCCAAGGAGGTGCGTCCGAGCCAGTCACTTGGGTGCCACACAAGCCCCAGCCCCTCACCTGGGACTCTGCCTCATTACTGCTGGGTTTGGTGGCTTTCTGAGCACYGGGAGGAAGATGCATGCTAGAAGGAGCCAACCACCTGCAGCTGCCCCAGGCCTGCCCAGCCCAGCAGGGGAGGACACAAGGGTCCATGTCCTTGGGCCACCTGCACCTGATGCCCTCCAGTGTCTCTGAGAGACCCCACTGTCAGAAGCTACAGCGGGAGACCCCAGTCGCTTTGTCTGGGCTCCAGTTATTCATAACCAGCCTGCCAGCACCCAGCTCAGGCCCTGGGCTCCGGGGGAGGAGGCTGCCCCAGGGCCTGGAGCCTTTTGTCCTGGGTGTCCCTGGGGCTGGCAGTAGGCGAGGTGGCCAACAGTGGTCAGCAAAGCGTCTGAAACGTCTTGCCAGGCACCCGCGAGGGGACTGATGTTTGTCCTTTGCAAACTGAAGCCAGATTCTCTAGACGTCTCCAGGCCACGTTGGTCCAGGGCACCCAGCCCAGCACCCAGCCCACCTCGGCCTCCCCTCTGACCCCTGCATTGGCTTCCTCCAGCTGCGCTTCAGACTCGGTCTCTGGACTGGCCAGTTTCACACTGAGCCTCGGACTTTGTGCCACCTGCCTTGGTGGCCTCGCTCTGACAGTGTAGGAGCCACTGACGTTGAGGAAGAAGGCGCAGGATAGGTAGGGGGCAGACTTGCGGTGCAGCACAAGTGACCAGAACGCTTTTGCCCAACACAGCAGCTGCTCAAATTCACAAAGCAGAACCACAGACCCCCAGGGGGGAGTTAATAGATTTTCCACCAAAAACAAAGAAAAGGAACAACCCAGGAAGGTAATGACGGACAGGGGGAGAGCCCAACCCCAAGTCAGCTAAGAACCCACTCTTAGATCCACGTCTACACCCTGAGGTTCACACCTGTGAACACGCCACCCGAGGTGAGGCCCACCCGGTTTCTCCAAGGCCCCCACCCGGCCTGACTCTCGGTGGGTGTCCCCTCCTTCCTCTTAATAAAATCCATGGGTGCCGCACCTTGACCCCTCCTTAAGTTGCTTTCTGCAGCACCAGGGACCCTCATGGCCTGAGCTGGGGTCCACCTCCCTTTGGGGACCTCCTTGGGATCCCTGTCCGGGTGACATCCTTTGGTGACCACGGAGGGACCRTGAGCCACAGCACTGACTTGGGTTTAGCCAAATGCCGAATTCCGTTTCCTTCGGCTCTTGCCTGGTGGTTGCCCTCTCTGTCGACTCCCTGCACGTCCAGTCTCTCACCGCTGCGGCCTGAGGCCCCCGCACCCCAGGAAATGAGGGCTCCTTTACAAAGGCCCCGGAGAGACGGGGGCGGGGGGGGGGGGCGGGCCCTGATCCCTTTGGCAAAAAACAAATCGGTCCAAGGAAAGGAGTCCCAGACTCCAACCAGCAGCCGCTCCYGGGGTGGTCCCTCCTGCAGCACCCCGCCCCCCCCAGTCCAGGGCCCTGCCTCCGGCCTCCCTTCCTCAGGGGTGACCTGCTCTGCTGGTCCCTGGCACCTCCAGCCCTTGGACTGTCTTGTCATTTTCTTTTGAAACGGTGCTGGGGGGGGCAGGGGGCTACAAACGTTCTGATTGTTTCCCCATGAAAGACCCCGTCCTGCCCGCTCCAAGGCCCATGGAGAGCACTGGCCAGCGCAGGGTGTGCGGGTCATTGGCGGAACTGTCCCTTTACCCCATCCCACACGTGGTCCTGACTCAAACACCAAGTGGATCCGCCAGGTCCACCGTCCTTGACCCAGAGGACGCGGTCTGTTCTCTGTATGTTCCCTTCCTCCTCCCTCCCCTCTCCCTCCTTCCATTCTCTCTCTCTCTCTCTCTCTCTCTCTCTCTCTCCTTGATGCTGGGACTTGAGCCCAGGGACACCGTACCCCTAAGCTACATTCACAGTCCTTTTTATTTGAGACAGGGTCTCACTAAGTTGCCGAGGGTCTGGATAAGTGGCCCAGGCTGGCCTTGAACTTGTGATCCTCCTGCCTCCACCTCCACTGGACTCACACGGGTACCACCACACCTGGCATCTGCTCGCCTCTGAGTGGACAGATGCTGACACTGAGTCACCTAGCACCCGCCGACGGTGCCKCCCAGGGATCTGGAGACGCCTCAGCGCAGGAGTTAAGACCTCCGACTGCAGACCCCTGGGCTTTGCTCCAGCCTGTGGTCGGTCTCCTCGTCTGCAGCCCCTGGAAGCTGAGCTCTGACGAGGATGCTCCCAAGGCTGTCCATGTCCTCGGAGCCGGAGCCGMGAGCTACCAGGGTCTCCACAAAGCCTCAGGCTTCCCAGGAACAAGGGAGACATTTCCTAAYCCCAGGGGATGGACTCTCACTCCTGAGAGGAAAGAAGTTCTTTTGAAATCTGGGACCAGAGACAGCCCGGGACTGCCCRGGAGGCCGGGTTCAGGAAACGCGGATGCTGTTGGGGACCAAAGCCAAACCACTGCACAAAGCCACACGAGGACCCAATTACGAGCCCTGGGACGGGACGGGAGATACAGGGAGCTTTTTGGAGACTCAGGACTTGTGGCTGTGTCCCAGCCTGGGGGACTCAGGACTTAGAAAGACAAGGTGTGGCACTGGGGGGTCCTCACTCAAAAACCGGGGGACGTGCCACAGCCAGTGGCTCTCATTTCTAAACCACCAGAGCCCTGGCGTGCAGATGGTCTGGCGCCTGGAGCTGYCACTGCCACAGCTTCTCTGTGACAGAAATGACTTAAAGTGACCTCAGGATCTYGTTGGAGGCCCTGATCCCCACCAAGCTCAAATGGTGTTAAATTATAAATGCAGGGCGCCAGGCCCAGCGGGAGGACRACTCTGAACGGGAAGGCCTGCCTCTGAGAGTCCCCGGAGCCACTCCCAGCCTCGGCCAGCCCACGCCCGGGCCTTGCTTCCCGCCCCAGGGAAAGAGGGGACTGGCCCCCTCCTGCGTGGAAACCA